GATGAAGGGTCTAGGCCCGAAACGTCAGCTTTCCTGCTCTTCTGATGCTGCTTGGCCTGCTGTGTTCATCCAGCTCTACACCTTGTTATCTCAGATTCTCCAGCATCTGCAGTTCCTACTATCGCTAAAGCTAAACTATAACAGTTTTGACTATAATCAGGAGCCACAACTCTGCAGACTTTAAGTAACAGGACCCTAGCTATTACAAAAGAGTTGCCACAAAGTATTGAACAGAAGCCAACACAGACAGATATTCTTATTCCATACTGAAGAATTTGAAATCCTTGCATATATTTAAGGCTGAGGCGGATGCATTGTTGATCAATAGGGAAATCAAAGATTTTGGGGAAAAAGCAGGAAAGTGGACATGAGGACTGTTGGATCAACCATGATCCTGTTAAATGGCAGAGTGGGCTGGAGGGCCGAATGGCTTATTCCTGTTCCTATATGTTATGGTCTTATTATCTAAATAAGAAATCACTTAAATTAGAATTAAAAATGAACTTTCATCCCTCAAACATAAAGTCATTACATGGCCTGTCAACTAATATTTTACAGAAGGGTTGTAACTTTCAGGTGTTTACCACAGAAATAAATGAACAAAATACTAATGAAGTACAAAACTTCAAAAAATATAAACTAAATATTTACACTGTTATTGGGGAAATGAGATAATGTTCCACTTCTTTATTGTACACCGAGGCTACAAGGTTAAACATTGTACTTATCCAGAGAGCTTCTTAGTGGCATCTTGTGGCAAGATTCAAGTACCACACACACATTGCACTGTCGTCCAGGGTAAAAGGAAGACATAATTTTCTAACTTCATGTGACCAGTGTGAGTGCACATTGAACATTTGAGCAGAAGCTTTGCATAATCTTCCCACTTTTTAAAACTGCCTACAAGTTGCACTGTATATTCCACTGTGTATTTGTAGCAGATGAGGATCTCTCATTGATGTTAGGATCTCTCGTTGATGCTAGCCTGTGCAACTTCTGATGAGTAGATAAACAGAATGTTTAGTCCAGTGGTCTCATGCACAGTAACTGTTTCAATTTTTTCGCAACAACAGTACAAAATATGTTTGATGCTTGTACAGTTAATATTTTGATTATTCTTCTTATTCACCCTTCGAGGTGAAGATCATCATGTCCATCATTAAGGGTATTTGTTACAGATCCAGTGGGTACCGATAAGGCCAATCTACTTCCAGAAAGTTGTTTTGCAAAGAATGATAGGTTACTGCAGATGATTGAGTTTTGAACGAGTTGCAGGCTTGTCATTTCCTGGGCTCACAATATCAAAACTCATAGATGTCATGCAGACTGTGTACCAACTTCACAACAAAAGGCTCAAACATTTTTATTTGATCAATGTTCAGAAACTTTTGAAGATCAGCTAGCAGGATAAAATATCAGATGCTGAAGTGTTCACTTACACTGTCATGCTAAGCATGCACACCAGATTGAGGCAGTTACAACAAAGTGGGCTGGTTACCTGACACTCCCTTATAAAAGTAAATCTTCGACGTAGAGCCTAGGCTGGGGGATACTCTCATTGTTGTCCAAGGAAGAGCTATAAAGACATTCTGAAGGCTTCACTTCAGAGTTTTGACTTTGATTTTGAGACCCAAGAGATATTCTCCCAGCATTGCTGCATCTGGTATAGCCAAATAAAAGCACTGCAGCCTCGTTTGAAAGCAAGAATATTTCAGACGAGAGAGAAAGTACAAAGTGAGGAAGTCCTGAGCCAGCAACACCTCCAAAACTCAAATGTCAGTGGCATTCTTTCCTACTTGGAGTGGAACATGCTGGTAGCAAATTGGCCATAGTATTCACGTACGTACTGCATGGAACTCTATCGAATTCCCCATAGCAGGCAGTTGGGTAGTATAATTTCACTGGACTAGTAATCAACAGTCTCAGGCAAAGATTTCGAGGACATAGGTTTAATTCCCTATATGGCAGACTTCAATAAAAATCTGGAATATTAAAAAAACACTATCGTCATAGCCAAAGCTCATACAGTGTAACTTCACTTTTTTAATAGAAAAACCCATCCGGTTCACTAATGTCCTCCAAGGAATGAAATGATACCAGACTCACAACAACGTGGTCGAATCTTAACTGCCGTCTGCACAAGTCGAGTTGGGCAATAAACAGCCCTTGTGACTGTTCTCTACTGCCACTTGATGTTTGAAAATTGGCCTAAACAAACTTTTCGATCATTCTTCCTGCCGTGATGAGGACATAAACATTAGAGTTATTCAATCTATTGCTAGAAGCTTCATGTTTATCACTGGCTATTTGCATTTAATAACTTTGAAGATTTCTTTACATTTTTCTGATTTTTTTTGCTTCATCTAAACTCCAAATTCTGACAACCCCATTAATCCTTGCAGCTTTCAAACTTTCTTTTCCCTTGCTCACATGTCAACTTATCTGTGTATGTCCTGACGGTCATTGCACTCAGCCTGTTTCCTTGTTTCAGGCTTAAAAATAAAACCTACTTGATGAGTTCTTCAGTTGACAGCCCAATATAAAATTTCTTATCTGCGGAAGTAGACAAGAACTCATGAATCCATATCCTTGCCAGATCATTTTTCTCATTAACATGCTAAACTGAGGACCAATACTATTACTATTATTATTAAACCAATATTATTAAACTAACTCACCTCTAGCATGAGATTGACCCTGGCACTTCCTAGTCTGTAATGCCTGTGCGGAGCTAAATGGTGCAGTTACTCAATGAGCCATCAGTGGAGATCCCCATCTCTCCCAGGGAATGTTACTAATTTGATGTTGGTTAAAATGTGAAACTGTATTCTTTGCTTTACATGGGATTTGGTAGAACCTTACCTGACTCTCTTGTGCGACCCCTGACTTCCGGACTCCATGGTCCAGAACCAATAGCATTAAATGCTTGAACTTGTACTCTGTATTCAGTCCACTCCTCTAGATCCTCGATAGTGAATTCCCGCTCAATCCGGTCCTGGATAATGTGTGAGAGAGTGGATCCATTTCCATCTGACTTCCCGTATTTTATTTTATATCCAACAGATTCCTGATTCCCGTTATACTCTGACTCGGGCAATGGCTGGAAAAAAAAAATAATTTGATTGTATCTTCTTTATCCTTTCATTTTTAGGAGATTTAATTGCTTACTTTAGAAATGTCCAGATTAAATAAACAAGCTTAATGTAGTTTTCTCTCAGAATCATTAACTGAACTGATGGTGACCTCTGTCTGCATGCATTCAGTATTAATTCATGTTCACATCTGTTCTCATGTTATTTGCCTTTCTCTACCATAACAAAAATAAATCTGCCACTGTTTCTACAATATAGATCTAGACATTTGCATGCTTCATGTCATAAAATTTAATTTATCACATTAACTGAATTGGCACTGTTGGTGTTTACTTTTGACATCATATATTTGGGCTGTAAAAAACCACAATCAGCACTTAATAAATACTGTGTGCTGGAAGATATCATTAGCACAGATAGTTACACATTTTACCACTCATTTTGTTCTTATTCTTGCTGAGTAATTGACACAGTATGTTTTTCTAAACATTGATATTACAATGCCCTCTTTTTCTGTCTTAAAAACTAATATACGTGATTGAATTTCTCACAATCTTTCTATCTCAAGAAATACAGCAATATGGAGACTTAAAATTTCTTCCAAACAGACATTGAAAGGAACAGAATGTTAGATTTCCTGCCATAAGAGTAGTTCTGTTGGTGCTTCAAAGATGCATAGGTAAATGGTGGTTATGTTAGTTGTGTCACTATGTCCTTTTACTCTCTTTTGTCCCGTTTCTAGGCTATCAGATTTCCACCAGAGTATATTAGTTTTTAAGACAGAAAAAGAGGGCATTGTAATATCAATGTTCAGAAAAACATACTGTGTCAATTACTCAGCAAGAATAAAAACAAAATGAGTGGTAAAATGTGTAACTATCTGTGCTAATGATATCTTCCAGCACACAGTACTGAGGGAGTGTTTCACTGGGTCTGCTGTCTCCACTGTGGTGACATGCATGGTATTGTCCCCTGTGATTTTCATTGAGTTGGACTAGCATTTCAAGGACTCATAGTCCCTCAGGAGTGTCATGAACCACAGTTGGCATGAGGAAACATTCTGAAAAATAAATTCAAAAGATCTTCCTTGTGCTCCCCATGCCACGCTATGTTCCCATCCAGAAAAAAAAAATCCATGACTCCCATTCCAGGCTTCCACGTCCATTCACTGTTTGCAGGCAATGAAGTAGCAGTGGATAGATATTAAAAATCTTTTGACAAGTCATTCTTTGATAACTTTTCATTTAAAAATGCCTCTGGGACTCTGGGTTGGAAGACCTTTCTGTTTGTATTCTCCTGAGATTAAGTCCTACGGAGTTGAGGCGAACATTAACATCTGGCAGTCCCGATCTGAACTTCTTCCTTGGTTGGCCCACAATAAAGGTGCATCTTCCCTGCCACTTCTTGCTGAGACAGGAGGGCAGTATCGAAAATTTTCTGGATGTCCGCTATGCAATACAAGTGTCAATCATTCAGACCTTTCAAAAGTTCCAAATCTGAAACTGCAAGTGCTTGATAACATTTAACTTTGTGTCACAAACACTCTTAAATTGAATGTCTTGGATATCTAGGTTGTTGAAATGGCTGAACCCCTGTTTGATTGACAGCTCTGGCTGCCTGACTTGTGCTGTCAATTTAACAATGTTTCTTTACAAAACGTTACTATGTTTGAAGTGTTTGCAGTTTCAGCTATTTAAACTTTAAACCGGATGATTATCACTTTCATTTCCCTGTGGTAGAAGGTAGTATTTTGTAATTTAGATCAGGGCTACTCATGAATGACTTTTTAAAAAACTTTTCTTTATATATCAAGCTGTAACTGCAGCATTCATTGCTTCCATTTGGGGAAGTGAGTGAATAAACATGTAAGTGCCATAGGCTGGTATTGGAGGCATGAGATGGCCATAGGGATGTTTAGGGCTCATACCTTGGCATGGGATACATAAGTGATCATGGGGGTTTTTTGAGCAGCGTACTTTTGGCACAGAAGGCATTAAGGATCATAACAGTTGTTTCAAGGGCATGAGGGTGGCATGGATGGGGCATGAGGAATTTGTGGGAGTGAGGGATTGTGATGAGCGAGAGCTGGAAGCCTAGATTGTAAAAGAAGTCCAAAAGTTTCAAATAAAAATCTTCTGCAACATTGGAACTTAGATTTCAGGTCAAATAAACAAAGGTATAAGGTAAGGAAACATTTATATTCGTATTTAATCCTGAAACGATTGTCTGCATCTGTTACATACCACCCAGCGGAGCCAGAGGCTTGTCTCACTTGCTGTTCGCAGGGTCACATTGGCAGGAGCCATGTCAGGTGGGGCCTGGAGAGTTTGAATTTTGCGCGATAACTGACTTGGCAGACTTGTTCCAACAATGTTGACTTGTCGCATACGAAATCTGTAGAAACGCAAGGCTTGTACTGAATGAAAGGCTCTTCCAAACATGTAGAGATCCGAATGGTAAAGCTAAATACATTGTTTGTGATGTAGACTCAATGAAAATAAGTCAATTTCTGTATTAAATGTTTAATTTACAATGTCAGTTGCTTGACTAAGTGGAAAGTTGACAGCAGTATGCTTTCCTTTGCTTGGGTACTCTCCAATCCCCTGTGACTTTGCCAAATTCTAACTTCAGTCATCTCCAAACCTTGCTGCTCCTTTCTTTAATTATTCCTTCATCCCCTTTAATGATTGATCTAAATGTCGAATTTATAACAACTTTCACATTGCTTTATTTAATGCTTTTTTTCAGACCTGCTTTTCTTTAACAACCTTTTCATTATCCAACTAAGAGCCTTAACTGCCATCCAATAATTTTTACTAGTTTCTAAATTTTTGCAAGTAAAGTGTTAATTTGGATATTTGCAGGGCAATTAGCAAGTGGAAGAGTTCCACAATCCAGGCATCTCAATTCTAGCTGTGGTTCATTCTCCCCACCACCTTTATTTTACTCTCAGAATTTGCTCATTTTTCAGTTTCCACACTGACATATTACTCACACCTAAAACCTGCACTTTTTTTTGAGATAACGTTGGACTGACTGTATGATTTCTCTTTTTAATTCAATTTGATATTTTGAACCTCTGCATGGCACACAATTATTAGTGGAAATACCTGAACAATGAATGGATGAACACTCAGGGGCAGAAATGTTAAATTGCTTTCCGCACAGTATTAAATATCCTAAACAATAAGCTCCATTTGAATATTTGAAAATATATCTTCACAGTATCTAAATATATCGAATATACATGGAGATACTCTCTAACCTTGAACAGATTTGCAGCAGTATCATTGCTTATGGTGTGGAAGTAGTTTATAGCATGCACAATTATATTCTAATTTTCGGAACAAAAAGCCCAAAACGCCTACAGAATCATCAAGAACAATTGACAGTATTTGCCTTAAATTAGATTACTAAATTCAGACAGATTGATCCTACTTTGTCTCAGTATTTTCATGCTGAAAAATGTATTGATGTGGATTTGTATTAAAAATTCACTCTTGGCAAGGGCATGTGTGTTCTGGCCATCTAAAATTAAGTTATATTTGGAAAATGAATTGGATCATTAAGGTGACAGGGGGATGCTTTTGCACCTCAATGATTTGTGGCACAGAGCGGGAAGACTTGGATTGTACCCATGACTTTAAGCATGATGAATGCTTGGACTTGATCTTGTGTCTTTCAGGAAATGCTTTCTTGTGGCAGGAGGCAATATCAACTGTTTTAACAGCTCTCATAGACTCACAAATTAGGCAGCCAAATCCAAATTGCAGCATTATAACATTTTTTTTTACTTAGGAAAGATATTTGCCATGACAAGCAGATGGTACTGGGAATGAAGCAGAAGGGAAGAGAGCTTACAAAAGGAGGTAATTAGATAACATATTTTTAAAAAATGTGTTACTTCCCTTGATGTACCTGCTACGACTTTGAGCCAACTTGGATTTCCAAGCATTATGAATATACATGGTTACCATACGCGTCCTGAAGGTGTTGGAAGAAAGACAGTACCTGTAATGTGTGAATGGATTGAGGTTGGGAACCACCAGTGATCGAGCATCAGGCTCATTGGCCAGCTGATGAACAAGAAGCCACTCTTCATGATCGCCTATTACACCAACCTGAAGGAAAGTGGGGAGGGAAATAATTATCATAAAAATAGCCAGTCTTAAATAGAGTCATTGTCATAGAGTCTTACAGATTGGAAACTGACCCTTTGGTCGAACTAATCTACGCTGATCATGTTCCCAAACTAAATTAGTCCCACCTGCCTGCTCTTGAATACTTATCACAATTTCACACTCATGATGGAATACGGAACTGATGAAGTCTCAATTGTCATAAAAGATAACAGATTTCGAAAGCAACCATGTAAGAAAAAATGGATACAAGATTGAAAGAAGTTACTGCTGTTAATATTACTACTTGACTGCTTAATCACTTACATAAATGTATAAACAATTTTCTCATTGCTCTCAAACTGAAAGACAGGAATGTGCTAGTTGTGATGGATACAGTCTAATGAAAGTGGAGAATCTTTTCACTGGTTATTTCAAGTTCACAATTCTATTAGAGTTGTTAATGTTTAAAAGTATGCATACATCTGTAATATAAATAACAGAGCTATATCACAACATTTTATATTTTTCAACAAAAACAAGCTTGGTTCAATCCTTTTTGATATACAATAAAATAAGCACTATGAACTTAACACTATAGTTTGCAACTACATATTTTATGAACTCAGTATGTCTTATTCCTTCTTTCCAAAAAGATACCTTTTCTTACAAAATCTTGAAGGTTCATTCATTTTTTTTGGAATCAACCTAAAGGTGTGCCATAGATGTTTAGAATTTATTTTACTTGTCTTTAATATTTTAGCTATTCCTAAAAATAAAATTGCATGGCATTCTTTTCATTAGATTTTGATTCAACAATCCTTCAATTTTCTTTGAAGACCTCATGAGTTTAGATTCTGCAGCTCCTTTTCATGGCTTTAGATAAACATAGGTTGCTTTTATCCAGTCTGTTCCAATAGCTTTTACATAGCTCTTTCCATGTAAACTGCTCAACTGACTGCTTTCTGACACACAACTCTGTAAGGACCACATCCAATCGCTTCCACGAGGTGCAAGCTAAATTCAATCTTGAAGCTATGAAATTCAGACTGAACTACTTGCCTTTATTGGTCAGCACACAGAGATAAATTAAACAGAACAATCTTCTAACCAAGGCTCTAATCTGAATCACCATCACCATAGCAATGGATGATTCAGACAGAAATGCAAACAAATTAGTTTGCCTTCAACACAACAATTTCATTTTACAACCCTCAAGAACAATTTCCAAGTCTAACTGATAAATTTTAGACTCCTGGGCTCTACTGCAAGCTTAAAGATGGATCAGTATTCAACTGTTGCATTATCTAGAGACGGCCTTTGAAGTCTGACAACCCATGCCCTTGTTTGAGTTGTGCTTAATAAGAGTTGTTCTTTTTTAACCACTTTCTCAACTAGATGCCTCCATTTTCCACAATTTATAACTTTAATTCCTAAAACTAAAGTTATATTCTAAAGTATATGAATTATTGGCTAGATTTCACAATGCTAACAAATAATCAATGTTTCACATTTTCATCATTGTGAACTATAAATGTTTGTGTCCACTATACCTGAGCTTCCACGAGCCATCGGGAAATGGAGGTTTTACCGTCATAGCCAGGTCTAAACTGAAGAGTTACTGTGCGAGGACCAATATTTGAGATGGCTATGTTTGTGGGAGACCCAGGTAATTCTGTTGAAATAAGACAGATGATGTGATAATATACCGTTGTGGAGCTCGTAAGAGAGGAAATCTATACAGCACCAACACTGCACTTTAGACAGTCCATAACATCAGGCGCAATTGTATATTTCTCCCACTTGTCCCGACATATAACAAGCTGGCAGTATTTCCCTCAAGGTGGCAAGTTAGGTTTCTCAGTCAATGACTGGATTTTGAAACATTACATTGAAAACATCTGCTAAGTTGAATTTTAATTGAATTTAGTTTTGTTGAACTGATGAATGATCAACCTCATCATCTTATAAGCTAGATTTTGCCTTTATCAACTTTGATGGCATCACATGGAAAGTGGGTTTGGCAGTTGAGGAGTAAGTCAATATAGTACTGCAAAGGATTTGTTTTGTGTTTATATTTGTATAAAATGGATACTTTCACAAATAATTTACATTATAAAGTCAAATGATGACTTTGGTGACTAAAACCAACGAGATTGCACAGTTTCAAGTTAATTAATCACCGTCTTAGAATAATGAAGATGCTGATCATCATTATTTATTCATGCGATTATGTCAGTATAACCAATGTAGATATGTTTCATACCTGGAGGAACTCCCGAAGAAATGGTGGATGAGGAGGTCTGACCCTGTCCCTTAGATGTCATGGCTGCTACTTCAATGGTATATGTGGTGAGAGCAGTCAGTCCAGTAACACGGTACTCTAATGTCACATTAGGTAAGTAGTGGGTCACACGTGTGTTAGTGCGATTATATTCTTCCCATGAAATGCGGTAACCTAGACACAAAACAACAGTGCAGGCAATTAAGTTATTTGTTTATAATCCTTACGAAATAAAAATGAAATTCATTCAATTATTTTGAGCACTGAAGTTTGAACAAGATTGTAAACGAGAAATGCTGCCATATTGAAAGCTTCTAGTATCTTTCTATGAACACAGAGGAATCATTAACTAAGTCTGGAGAATTATTACACTCTCTTGGTTTGTTTCACATAGTAATGGCCACCTAGAGATTAAAAGGTGCTAATTATTTTGTGATTATAAAAATATGTTTGAGAAATATTATACAAAAGCAAGCAGTACATGATCTGAAAATACTCAAAGAAAAATACTGCAACGCTGAAAATCTGAAATAAACGAAACGAAAATGCTGGAGAAATTCAGCAGGTAGACAGCATCTGTGGAGAGTGACTCGAAACATTAACACTGTTTTATTTTCACAGATGCTGCCAGTGCTGCTGAGTCTCTTCAGCCGTTTCTGTTTTTATAATCTGAAAACCGTGGTGACTGAAATGGCCAGCCCACATAAATACTGCAACACATTCATTAGCCTGACATGTATCTAATAAAAATCCACAAGTTAAACTACTCTAAAATCAATGAACATCACTCAAGTTTCTTCTCCTCTTTCATGTTGCGCTACTTGATATACTTTTGCTCTACTTAATCCACCTTGTCTTCTAATGTACCAACAAAACCTCCAAAAAGCCAAACTGTGCCCTCTTCTGTGAATGGGCCACGGAGTGGGCTGCAGGGCAAACATGTCAGTTTAGGAAAGGGAAATTAATCTTAAAATAAAACAACATAACAGTGCCAATCTTCAGAAATTCTGACCTGTGAGGATCCCATTTTTTTCATGTGGCTCTCTCCAGCTGACTTTCAGAGAGGTATCCAGGATCTCTGTGAAACTCAGATGTCCAATCGGACCAGGGTCTAAAGAAAAGAGCAGTATGATTAATTTCCGGCACGCCCACTTGGACCCTTAAACATGAAGTTACAATTGCCAAGGAGAGCAAATAAAAGTACAGGCACAATAACAATGTAACATTGTACAGTCGGAAGACAATTTTCTCCAACGTGTGTTCTACTATTTTGGCTACATAGTTCAACTGGTTTTGTTCTGTTCAACACATAGCCATGGTGTTTTCATTTAAAACAGCTTGGAGAGAGATCTTTTCCAGGATTAATGAGTTTACATTTACATTAGGAGACTTTATGACTGAGCAAGGGAATCAATTGTGCATTAATGTTTCAGTTAGGAACTTCTGGATTTAGTGTTTTTTTTAAGTTAACACCCATAGTTTAAAAAGAAAGGTTTTTTTTAAAAGTTTCACTTTGGACCAGTTCTACAGATTTCTTGAATGAAAGTTAATGTGTAAAGTGGGTACTCCTAAGAAAGGGAGAAAATAGTACCAGTAGAATATATTATAGTGAGGAGTTCAATAATAGTTCCATAACATGAGTGTTTGGAAGAAGTTATTTGAAGCTGAGAACAATTAAGCTCAGGTGTATGGAAGTTCCAGAACAGACGATCAGATGTTCCAGATTAGATGAGGAAGTCTTCAGTTAAATTAAGCCTCGAGAGGCATTAGAGAAGGCAGTTTTTTGCTCATGTAAGTACAAGGGTACATTTAGGTACAGCAGTGTTCAGGGGATTTGTAAAGGAGTGTTTATGGGATTAATGGTATTTTATTTTACTGTATATTTCAAAATCTTTAACTTTGCATTATATGTAAAGAGTCCAGTTTATTCCATTCATTTTCATTTCTTTTGCTTAATAAACTTCCCTTTTATTGTTAAAATCAAATCTATAATATTGCATGAGATAACAAGGTGTAGAGCTGGATGAACACAGCAGGCCAAGCAGCATCAGAGAAGCAGGAAGGCTGACGTTTCGGGCCTAGACCCTTCTTCAGAAATGGGGGAGGGGAAGGGGGTTCTGAAATAAATAGGGAGAGAGGGGGAGGCGGATAGAAGATGGATAGAGGAGAAGATAGGTGGAGAGGAGACAGACAGGTCAAAGAGGTGGGGATGGAGCCAGTAAAGGTGAGTGTAGGTGGGGAGTTAGGGAGGAGATAGGTCAGTCCAGGGAGGACAGATAGGTCAAGGGAGCGGGATGAGGTTAATAGGTAGGAGATGGGGGTAGGGCTTGAGGTGGGAGGAGGGGAGGAAGGACAGGTTAGGGAGGCAGGGACGAACTGGGCTGGTTTTGGGATGCGGTAGGGGGAGGGGAGATTTTGAAGCTTGTGAAGTCCACATTGATTCCATTGGGCTGCAGGGTCGCCAAGCGGAATATGAGTTGCTGTTCCTGCAACCTTCGGATGGCATCGTTGTGGCACTGTAGGAGGCCCAGGATGGACATGTCGTCTGAGGAATGGGAGGGGGAGTTGAAATGGTTCGCGACTGGGAGGTGCAGTTGTTTAGTGCGAACCGAGCGTAGGAGTTCTGCAAAGCGGTCCCCAAGCCTCCGCTTGGTTTCCCCGACGTAGAGGAGGCCACAACGGGAACAGCGGATGCAGTATAACACATTAGCAGATGTGCAGGTGAACATCTGCTTAGTGAGAGATCACCTCATTCAAATTTCTGACAGAGGTCTGACTTTCCAGGAAAAACATCAGCTGGGATCATGACATGTGCAGAGCAATATTTGCCTAGAGTCAAACTGCTGACTAGTCTGTACAATCAGGCCTCATTGTGGATGTCAGGAGTTGTCAGTATGATAACAACTTTCTGATTGGCTCCAGGGCAGGTAGACCGACTGTGTGTGAGCAATGCAGAGGCAGCAGCTTCCAGGCTGCAAAAGAGACAAAGGTCTCTCTCTCTCTCTCTCATCTCTCAGTGCAGACATAATCAGAAGCTAAAAATTGCTAGCTCTTCATAGAGTCATACAGCGTAGAAACAGACCATTCGGCCCACCATTTCTATGCAGACCAACAAACACCAAATTACATTAATCCCATTGCTCTGCACTTGGTTCACAGCCTACTCTGCCCCAGTGTTTTAAGTACTCATCCAGATGCTTCTTAAACGTTGCTAGAGTACTTGCCTCCACCACCCTCTTTGGCAGCATATATCTACCATCGTCTTAGTGAAAAAAAATTCCTCAGATCTCCTCTAAACCACTTGCTCCTCACCTTAAGCATATCTTCTCTGATCATAGACATGTCTGCCTTGGGGAAGGGATTCTCACAATCTACTCTGTCTAAGTCTATCAGCATTTTGTATACCTCAATCAGGTCCTTCCTCAGCCTCTTCTGCTCCAAGGAAAACAAACCAAATCTGTCCATTCTAGTCCTCATTACTGCAATTGTTCATCCCAGGCAACATCCTGGTAAATCTCCTCTGCACCCTCTCCCACAACTTCAGCAAAAAAAAGACCAGAGAGAATCTGGAAATAAGGAGATTGGCACACAGAAGATCTTGGAAGAAACAAATGGGATAGCTCCTCGAATCCTGTGGGCAGGTGCTGGACCAAGTGTAGGTAAATGAGATTAGTGTAGTCAGGTATTTGTTGACATAGATATGGTGGGCTGAATGGCCTCTTCCTTTGCTGTACGATATTAATTGTTTAGTTTTTCAGTCACTAGTTAAAGGCAACAGCATACCACAACTGATGGGAGAGAAGAACTAGCTACCTTTTAATTTTGATTGCTTCACTGGACAGAGAGAGAGAGACTCTTGTCTCTTTTGCAGTCTGGAGGCTGCTGTCCCTCTATTGTTCATGCACACTCTGTCCACAGTCATTTTTGTACATCTATAACACCCATGTTTATTTGTTTGTCTATACAGACAAGAAGGATGACAGAGCTTAAGCCAGCAGAGTTATACGTTGATGATGCCTATCTTGTTTTCTTGTGGTTGGAACTGATTTCTTAGGAATAAATGGTAGTTTCTGGTTAAGTATGGAAACCTGGCTCGTTAACCCAAGTCCATCAGCCGGGTAAATTGGGAATTTTGAGTAACTTGATAATCCTTAACTCTTGTAACAATCCCAGCAGTTGTGGGGCTTGAGCGTCAGCACAGTTTCCCTAGTGCGTCTGGACAGCTGATTGGTGCCTTTTATTGGTGGGAGATGTCGCATCTACAAAGACTATCAAATTATACTGAACTTCATTCTTAGCTATTTCAAGGCCATTCATGAAACATACATGTTTCTGCTTAACCAGTGCAATGTTTTACCACTTTCTACATTAAATTTAATTGAACACTCATATTTATGTAATTAGTTTCATAATTTCTAAGCTACCTGTCTAAATTCCACTGTCCCTTCTAGTTTAGCTTTCTTAATTTGCAGTGAATTTCAGAATCAAAGTCATTGACACAAATTAGCAAAATTAATGCTTGCAATATTGAATGCTGGGGAACTTTTACCCCATTCTGATACTAACTTTCTAACCTTTGTCTTCAAGGTATTTGCTCTTTCAGAGGTGAATTCTGCCTTGAATCCCTGAAGCTTTGAACATCATTAGTCATTGATAACGTTTCATGTACAATTTCATAGGGTTTGTTTTGTGTTCTCATTTTTTCAATAAAATCAAGGAGGTTATACTTATGCAAGATTTTTGACAACTAAAGCAGTGCTGATTGCTGTTTATCAAGTTGCTGTGGCAGAAATAATCTGCTAATGTGGAATTGAATTAAGACAAAATTGCCTTCAGTTTTTTCACCTTTTGAATATTGGCATAATATTAACCCAGATCTGATCTACTACTTTTCCGCTGTTTAATGCTTATCGTCAGTTTTGTCAATGTCTAACAAATCTTGGTATTTTAAAGTAAATACTATCCAATCTGGGGATTTATTTGCTTTCAGCCCATCTAGTTGTCCTCTCATTAATCACCAAGTAGTAATTCGTCATACATAATTGTTGGCAGACTATTTGCTTTCAAGTGATATTACAGTTAAACCTAATCCTCTTCACATGAAGGCAAACTACTTCCATCAGTGATTCCCTCGCTGATCAGGAACAGGAAAGCTATTTGATTTATGTGGGTGAAACATTTCAGTTAAGGCAGATTAGACAATATTGTAGTCATCTGTGTTGCAGCAAGACTGAACTCTGACATTCCACTGAATTATCAATCTCATCTGCACAGCATTAACAAGCAGAAACCTGGCATCTGCTGGCAAAAAACTGGGATCAAAGATTAAATTGGACAGGCAGTTTTACCAGAGCTTCCCTTGTGTTCTTGCTGGCTAAGATCAACCTTGCTGCTAGTCTGAGAGGGGAAACTCTATCACAATTTCCAGTACGCAATGACTGCGTGGCTCAGGTATACAGAACTTAATAAAATGGCCAAATATATTTTAAACTATATGACATCTTTTTATGTTGGAAACATTGTAACCACAGGTTGACACAAGAGAAAGGTCTAAATATAACTTACATTTGACACAAAGCTCTAAACAACAATCAAGTTTATTGCTTGCTATTATTTATATTACTTGCTGCGTTTAATATATAGAGTATATTTAGTATGTTTTGCAAATCAAAGGATCTTTGTTACAATTAATTACATTTTTGTCAAATAGCAGAATCTAGAACTTCATGGCTAATAAATCCATCCATCTTATTGTACTGTAATAGAGTCATAAAGCATGGAAACAGACCCTTTGGCCCAACTCATCCATACCGACGAAGTTTCCTAAACTGAACTAGTCCCATTTGCCTGTGTTTGGCCCATTTTTCTGAAGAAGGGTCTAGGTCCGAAACATCAGCCTTCCTGCTCCTCTGATGCTGCTTGGCCTGCTGTGTTCATCCAGCTCTACACCTTGTTATCCCTCCAAACTCTTCCTATTCGTATATCTGTCCAAATGTCTTTTAAATACTGTAATTCTACTTGCCTCTACCACTTCCTCGGGCAGCCCGTTCCATATACGCGCCACCCTCCGTGTGAAAAAGTTGCCGCTCAGGTCCCTTTTAAATCTTTCCCCTCTCACCTTAAACCTTTTGGACTTCCCTACCCTGGAGAAAAGACCTTGCCTATTCACCTTATCTATGCCGCTCATGATTTTATAAAACTCCACAACGTCACTCCTCAGCATCCTATGCTCCAGGGGAAAATAAGTCCCAGCCTCTCCTTATAACTTAAACCTTCTAGCCTCTGAATTATAGACACTTGGAAGTGCTCATGACACTGAGAAAGTACTCACAATCTTCATGTGTACGTAGAAGATGAGCTGGACTCCTGGGGCCATCACCTGGTGTAGTGAAACACAGCACTGAAGTGTAATATTCTGTAAACTTCTTCAAGCCTCGGATGTACCCAACATGGACCATATCCTGGAAATTTGGCTGGACTGTTACCATTGTGAAATCTTCACTCTTACCAGGCTCCCAAGCCAACAGCTGAAATGGTTGGAGAAGGGGACATTTCAGAAAGCACTGGTGTAAACTAACATGTATTCAGCAACCACAAGCAAATTCGTGCTACTTTGTGTTTTCTTAAATATCGATTACTTCAATGAAAGTCCAGTCAATTTCAATTTGTTACCAGTCAGACCAGATGCCACTTCAGTGTGAAACTTTTTGAACACATCCAACTCAAGTTATAATATAAAAGTAACCATTTTAATGGGGAAGCTACTTTAATCTGTTTGAGATAATACAAAATCTTTTCTTCATTGTAAAATTCTCAAAAGACGACCTCCTATTTATCCTTCACAAAGATACTGTACACTTCGATTGTAAGTAGGAGGAAAAAATGTATCTTGGCATAACAGTTTGCTTTGGAAACATGTTGGTCAAGTAAATCTTGGTTTCCCAGGATAAATTAGGGCTGCAGAACCTTTTATAAACAGTGATTACTGTGATCTGGTAACACACGGCTGATAGAATCCCAACAGTGGAGATTGAGGTTATTTGGCCCATTGAGTGTACATCAACCCCTCAAAGAGCATCCCACCCTGACCCAGCTCCCTACCCCATCCCTGTAACCCTGCATTTTCCATGGTTAATCCACCTAACCTGAACATCCCTAGATACTATGGTGCAATTTAGCATGGCCAATCCACCTGTCCTCCACATCTTTGACTGTGGGAGGAAACCGGAGCACTGAGCGGAAACCCACACAGACATGGGGAGAATGTGCAAACTGCACACAGACAGTTGCCCGAGGCTGGAATCAAACCCGGATTTTTGGCGCTGTGAGGCAGCAGTGCTAACCACCGAGCCACCGTGCCGCCCCATAATTCCACTTTGACTTAACATTCTACATTCATATACTATGAAACTTTTCAGATAAAACCTATGAACAGATTTGGTAATAAAAGCTTCTCAAACTCTTGGTTCAGAGATAGTAGGAATTGCCGATGCTGAAGAATCTGAGATAACAAAGTGTAGAGCTGGACGAACACAGCAGGCCAAGCAGCATCAGAGGAGCCGGAAAGCTGAC